AATCCCCGCTAATTATTCGCTCAATAAAAACGGCAAATCCGTAAAATCCACCTATTGTCTTTGCATTTGCACTCGCTTTCCTCTCAATTCGCATTCTCTCTCGTATTTTGCCGCTGAATATTTCTAAATCCATCCTAAATAAACTCCCGTAAACTTGATTCCGATAATGTCGGTTCGCATCGCTATTCTCCCACCCATCCTCTCTCTCTCTCGCTCTCTCTCTCTCTCTCCATGGCATTATTTCAACTTTCCATGGAAAAGCCTCGTCGCCGCCACGTGAAAACCATGCGTTCGCGCTGCCACCAATTACCAGCTTTCAAACGAGTCGTATCGAGTTCTCCCGATGGAAACTCGCGACCACTACGTATAAAGATATGAAAAACGACAAAAGGAAAAGAACAAAAAACTTTCAATGGTAAATACTAATCGCTGGACTTTTTTGTCCGTCGGGCATTTTTTACCGGCAAAAAAACGTCCAAAGGGGCTCCCTTTTCATTTTCTCTGCCTCGCTCAATACAGTCTTTTGGGATTCAGTGTTAAGTAACGTCGAATCGCTTTGAGCTTATGGATGATTTTTTGCTACCGAGAATTTTCACATTTCACCGCCCTTTAGTAGCGTACTGTGCCGCGTAGCTTGGATTTTTGTCCGCGATCGTCGAAAAATTTTCATTTCACCTAAAGCCACCCCGAAGCCGCTCAAGCACAGGCACAGGAAATTTCGTTAATAAACACATAAGCCAAGTACCTTGTTCATTACCTAAATTATCGCGCTCTTTATATACGCGATCCCTCGGTCGTGCGAGATCGAGAATTTTGCACGCACGATTAATTGAATTGAAATGCACGCGGGGCCACACAATGAGCTCCTTTCTTTACAATCAAGTTAAATGCATCTTGGCGATGTCGGATTGGGCAATCGAGGCGTTAATATAAAGATAATATTTAGCTCACGGACCCGCCCACGCATTAATACCCGCCCAAGCCCCAGTCGCCTTTAAACATTCCTCATTGAATTTGCCAATAATTCCATGCTGCCTCTGTGATTTTTGCCCGTCAAGCCTCCGTTCACCCAATTATGCTTATGCCGTGTAATCGTAACCTTCGTTAAAACTAAAATCCCGCAACAATTACACGCCCGTAATGCAATCGATAATTAAATTTCAATGGTTGCAAAGCCGACAGTGCAGCTCCAACGGATTGGTCAATAACGGCAGTCAATAAATCCGGGCGCATCGCCACCGCACGAGCCCTCGGCTAATTACGCAATAATTATAAACCCACCCGGGTAATTCGGTCCGTGTCTTAAAATACGAGGGCACAAGGTGTTAGGCCCGCTGCCAATTAGCTGTACCTAATAAGACGCGGCGCCACGTTTACGCGCAATAAAGTGCGGCCGTAATGTTTGGGCCTATGACGCGGAGGAGCGCTGCAATTGTCAGGATACGTCAAGTCCGTCAAAACTATCGCACCCACCGGTGGTCGACGACGCGTGTCATTGAACCGCGAATCTAGTACTTTATTAGCAATGTCATGATATAACGCAGGTTTGGCCATCCAGTTAGTCCTCCCCTCCCATTTCTCTTACACTCTCTCACTCACTCTCACTCACTCACTCACTCACTCTCTCTCTCTCTCTCTCTCTCTCTCTCTCTC